ACACAATGTATCATAGACTGCTACCCAACAATACATCTACTAAACGAAGAACACTCCTACAACACAATGTATCATAGACTGCTACCCAACAATACATCCACTTAACAAAGAACACTCCTACAACACAATGTATCATAGACTGCTACCCAACAATACATCCACTTAACAAAGAACACTCCTACAACACAATGTATCATAGACTGCTACCCCAACAATACATCCACTAAACGAAGAACACTCCTACAACACAATGTATCATAGACTGCTACCCAACAATCAATACATCCACTTAACAAAGAACAATCCTACAACACAATGTATCATATCAATTATATTTGTTATGAATAAAAGAAGACATTTCTTGATCGTATTGTGTAAATAAAATTTTAAATCAGGTCAAATAATATAAAGCCATTTTCATCTGACAGCGATCTGGAATATCTGAACGTAAAGATGTTAAATTTTTGATATTACCAATTAATTTTGAACAGCAGTCAATCAAAATATGTGTTTTTTCATCTTTTCATATTGATTACCTCAAGTAAAGATTGACAACACATTAATCTATGTATGATTATCTCAAGTAACTTCAGAACAAAAAATCTCAGCATCTGATATGAAACCAAAGAAATGCTTTACAGAATTCGGAACATTACTATTTTCCTCTGACAATTATCTTGTACAATACAAATAAATCAAAACATGAGTAGTGGCCCCTGAAAGATATTAATAATGCTTGGAGTTTACAGATTCAGATTCAGATTCAATATTTATTACAGTCTCACCACTTGTAATACATATAATACAATCATCATAATATATACATTGAATAAAACAGTAATTTTATAAATTAAAATACAAGTGCCATTCTATAAAGAATTATGGAGACTATAGAAATCAATATAAATTATTACTATATATTTATCATGTCTATAAAAGCATTTCCGTTATGTAAAACCATATAACTAAATTTATCATGTCTATAAAATATTTCAGGTCTGTAAAAACATAACTATCAATCAAGCATATAAAAAACTATTTCTTCTACGTAAAATATTAAAGCAGTTTTTGGCAACCACATCAAAACAATCATTACTTTTAAAAAGATATATAAACTTATCATCATCAGATAAAATATTAAAATCAACATTACTTCTTTTAACTTCATAAAATAAACTCTCACGTAAATCAGCATATAATGGACAGTCTAATATAACATGTTTCTCATCTTCAATTTTATCATTGCACACAAAGCAAACTCTTTCATTTACGGTTTTGTTTTCATAGAGACCTGTTTCTATTCGCAAGGGGGCAACGCCACACCTAAATTTAGCAAATGCACCTCTGTATCGTATTGAAATGTTCTTCCTCAAATACATCTCTGTTTCAAAAATATCTTTAAACAATTTATAAGTACGTAATTGTTTTCCAACATTTTGTGACAATATTCTATTATGCCAATGACTAGTGGCCCCTGAAAGATATTAGTAATGCTTGGAGTTTACATGAGTAATGGCCCCTGAAAGATATTAATAGTGCTGGGAGTTTGAGTATGATTCAAATTTCAAGACATTGGCGCAAAAGTAATTTATTGTTGTGTGTATATACAATACAGTAGAATGTGCAGATGATAATGCGTCCAAAATGTTGTTTTCGCAACGTACGTTCCTAATGATAAGCATCCAAAATTCGCTGAAACCAAATCGGTTACGTACATTTTAAAGTATTCAAAAGGAAAAAGAGCATGTTGTAACTTTGACCACATAAAATCTACTGTGGAAGCAATAAATTCAGGCAATTGAAGAATGTTTATGAAATCGACATGACTTAAACGCGGACCGCAATGAGGACCCCAAATTGAACTGTGACGAAAACAGTAATTTGACATAACCGTTCGCTCGCAACAGAAGCAGGATACCAGGAGACTATATACGTCTAGTATACGTATATCGCTTCGTGTTATCTGTACACCTGTATTAGTATAGTAGAAAGGTCGCAGGATAAATTCAGATTTCACTGCAACGTAATGTATGGCCAATAAAGGGAAATGGGATCTGAAGAATAAAAGAAAACTAGGTTTTTTAGTACTAGCTTCAAAAATTTCTAAGGCTTTTTATTACCAATAACTGTATGATATCACAACATGTGTATCGCATTAAGCCTCCATTCTAAGGACTTTCTTAAAGGCATAATTTCTCATATCCATTTCATTTGAACTCTAGCGGATAAATGTCTCATTGGTAATTATACCATATCTCCTTATAAATAAATAATGGAACACTTTGCAAAAAAAAAAAAAACAAAAAACAAAAAAACTGGTGAAAATATCTTATTCTGTTTGACAGTTGTGTTATCTTTTGGAAAAGTATTGAAAAATTAATTTGTGTGTCTTTTACATGAAACATGCAAATTTCATACTGAAATATCTTGAAAAGTAAATCTTGAAAGTACATTGTTCTTTGCATATTTCAATAGAGCATACATAAATTGACTTTGTGTCAAAATGTTAAGGAAAATCAACTAGAGACCCTTTCTATATCGTATGCCCTTAAAAGCAAGTACCAAACATTCTATGTATATGCAAGACGCCATTAAGTGATAAAAGAAAAATAGTTACACATGAAAGAAAAATCACATGTCTATAAATGTCGTATGAAAAGTGATAAACAGAATAAGAAAAGAAATACAGTACTGTCATACCTGTGTTGGATCCGTTCTTTACTTTGAAACTAAAGTCATGCATGTTTGAAGGAGTGCTGTCACCTTAAGCTGTTCCTTTTCTTTTCTATGATTATCGGATGGTTACTGCCACATTATTTATTACACGACACATTATTATGATTATATGATTGTATAAAACCTCCTGTGTTAAGCTGATTTCGTCGAATTTATGTGCTTTCTAATCAAATGTTCACCTATTTTGAAAGAATTCAATCAGTAATATTTCTGAAAATATAAGAGATAAATGCACTTTTTTTTTATTTTCAGTTACATAAAAGTAAGGAGATGTGGTATGATTGCCAATAAAACAACTATCCACCAGAGTTCAAATAAAGTGAATGTAAGCAATTATAGTTCATCGGGCCAAAGTTAGATGCAAAATTGTACAAAAATCTGTAACACAGCCCATTTACTGCTATATCAAAATTTTTGTCGTCGACTTTTTAACTTAAAAAAGATAATTAGGGAGTACCATTTGATTTTATGGGGGGGGGGGGGGGGGGCTAGGATGAAAAATTTCGTCCTGCATTATTTTTTAATTGTAATCTCTGTCCTGCCTTTTTATTTTTCACTCTATTCGGTCCTGCCTTTTTATTTTTCACTCTATTCGGTCCTGCCTTTTTTTATTAGTTTATCCTGACTTTTTTATATAAATTGTCATCCTGCCTTTTTTTTTGCGAAGTTGCTCATCCTGCCTTTTTTTTTTACTCAAAACTCCTGTCCTGCCTTTTTTTCAAATTTCATCCTAGCCCCCCCCCCCCCCCCCCCCCCCTCCCTTCCATAAAAATTAAATGGTAGCCATAACTATACGATATTTGGTAATGAAATTACCTATCACACGTTCATCAACCTGCAGCTAGTTTCAATCTTTTCTCAGACTGTTTAAGAGTACGGTTATTTTCTAAATGAATGCCCTAACCTAAAATTCAAAGAAAAATGCCAGATCAAAGTTAAGTAAATTCTTATTCAAGCTATAGCTTAGCACTTGGCAAATAGTATAGTTTTTTTTCTAGAAGTAACTTTTTAACCAGATGAACGTTCTTTGTATGAAATGCAAAAAAAAAAAAATAGTGATGCACAGTGTTGGCAAACATATGTAGAGTGCAATTAAGATAACGATGTAGAACTGAAAATCGTAAGCTATTTGTAGCCAAAAATAAGATATAAAGCTAAAGATTTGAATAATACAGATGCCTAAGTGCCAGCTGATAAGCCAGCAAACAATGTCGTGTTTGATACAAGTTTTGAAATATCGAATTTCTTCACGCAAGTCATCGATATATGACTCGCGAAAAGAGATTCTATATTTCAAAACTTATTTTAATCAATTTATTAGAAATGGATGTAATATAAAAACCACTTCGTTGAAACTGAACATCTTGTAGCGTCAAGTCACAATTATATTGTCTCTTCTATGTACTGGTTACCTAAATTTACACAAAGCACCTTATAAATCCTACTTTATATCAGCTTGTAGCACGTTCTGACCTATTAAATTATCTGTCCCATGACAAGTACGCGTAGTATCTTCAAAACTCTTGTTTTAAATATTGCAATTATAATCTATCAACAGACATGCATTATTTAAACATTTTGACGACGTCTTAGAGAAACTAAACCCTATTGTTATGAATTTTCCTACACTACTTTTACGTTATCTGATTAAAAATGAAGCTAGAAAACTAATTCAATAGGCTTTTGATAACAGATTTGCCGAATGAAGTTTTGCATGAGCCCCTGTTTGGCCAGTCATCTATATTGTTAATGCCTTTACTCGTTCTAAAAAAAATCAACATGACTATGAAAATATGAAAGAAAGAAAACGATGCAATCTAATTACTTAGAAAAAAAACTCATTAAGTTTGAAATAGAGAAACCACAAGATGTAACAATAGCTGATGTTAATCCGTTTATCACTATTTGCTGCTTATAGCAATATTACATTATAAAAAAAGTTCTTAATGAGTGAGACAATTATAGGCTATTGACAAATGATATGATTGGAAAGGATGCCACAAGAAACAAGTTTCACATTTCAATCCGGAAAAATCACACCTGTCAAAAACCAGAAACAGGTGAGAGAACTCCTACGAGTTATAATCCGTTAGTATTACTTCATCGTCAAATTAAGGGAGAAGTACGATTCAATCAGAGACAAGTATCGTCATTGGTAGATGCGATTTGAGACAAGTACCATCATTGGAGGATATTTTATCGATTGTTGAAGCTGCAGAGAGATAGAAGTTCTGTCTATAGTCATTATAACTAAGACATTTAAACTCTCTAGTGGTTACAGAGTAGACAACGAAAACAGCAGTCAGTTCAACAACTTTATCATGTTACTAAACTAATTTTAATTTGAGTAAACAGTATTACATGGTGTTGGGGATTATCAATTGGATGTAGCTTTCTTATTCTAAGGTAGGACTTTTTCTTCAACAACAATAACTGATTCTATCCAGTTTTAGCGACCTTGGCTTATTCTAGATGGTTGTAAGCAGAGTTTTACAAAACGGAATGATGAATAATTCTAGCTGCATTTTTGATAACCTAACTGACGAAAGCCATAACAATTTTACGCTACCGCCATTTAACGTAGGTATTTCCGTTTCATTAGTTACTTGTTATGGAATCATTTGTGCATGTGGACTCTTTGGAAATGCGCTTGTTATGTACGTCATTCTGCGATCATCCAACATGAAGACTGTTACTAACATGTACATTGTCAACTTAGCTATTTCTGATTTTATATTTCTTATTAGCATGCCGTTGCTAATGACGACAACATGGTTGCGATTTTGGCTTTTTGGACCAGCAATGTGCAAGGTATACAACATAATGTATTCTATTAACTTATTCACGGGTATTTTCACACTAACCGCCTTAAGTGCCGATAGATACCTAGCAGTTTGTCACGCAGTTGCCTCCCAAAGATTCAGAACACCAATGAATTCGATGTTTGCTATTTTAGGAATTTGGGCAATATCTGTATTAGTTATGTTGCCTATCATTTTGTACGCCAATACAGTTCCAAGCTTTCTGTACAAGGATAAACTGTCGTGCACTATTTCTTGGCCAAGAAATCAGATAGTTCCACCGGAGAAAGCTTATACTTGGTATACATTTATGCTTGGATTCGCAGTACCCGTATCTTTGGTTTCAATATTTTACATTCTTGTTATAATTAGAATACAGAATCTTGGCCCTGCAAATCAGCAAAAATCATCAGAACGAAGGAAAAAGTCTAAGAAAGTGACAAAAATGGTACTAACTGTTATTTCTGTGTATGTGATTTGCTGGTTGCCTTACTGGATATTTCAGGTACATTTAACGTTAAAACAAGGCCCAGAAAAACTAGCGCACTGGAAGATTCTACTATTCAATTTAATGACTGTAATGACCTTCGCAAATAGCATGCTGAATCCGATTCTGTATGCTTTTCTAAGCGAGCACTTCCGGAAAGGTTTCAGGGAAGCCTTTAAATGCCAGATTAATGCGAGCGGAACGAACAAGTCCATGATCGAGGAGCAGAGTAACTTTGACAGAATAAAAGCTAAGACTAAAATTAAACAAACGAACTTAGAACTGGATCCCAAAACTGGAAGTTTAAGTCACAGGGTGTTGACGGAAACCTCAAACGTCGTAAGCGGTAATGGTTTTACGCCTGAAAGTCCGGTCAACCTTTTAATGAACAACGAATCACATGTTTACGACGGAACGGAGTACGAAGTAAAGGGAAATAACTCTTCAGATGAAAATTCTGTGTTGATAAATCAAAGTGTAGAAACAACAGATTTTAAAAAGACATTAATAGCTGAGGACGAAAGTGACGACAAAAACTCTGTTACTTACATAGATAAGGAAAGTCAAACGAAATTACATTAAAGTTCTTACACGTAGACTTTTTAAGTCAAAATTTCATTACAATAACGTTCTATTCTCCTACCAAACTAGCACTGTAATTAGTGGGTTTATCGTAAAAGTGGGACTAAAATTAAATTAAACTTTGATATATTACGTTAAATTGGCAGTCTCATTCACCAATGGTATAAAAACAGATAAGTCGGTTAATCTTTATAAAGATTATCTCAAAGCATAACGACGTCTCATCTAGCAGAGTATTTCTACAGTAATTGTTCTTATATGTTCATTCTTAGACAAAATGTAATTATCACTTTTTTTTTACTCTGATGAGAATTTTGTGTTTGTATTAACCTTAAAACCAACTGAAATTGACGCAGTAGAAGGCATACTATATTATAAAGACATAATTTTATAAATTTATAATTATATTTTCATCTAAAATAATGAAATAAGAGGTAACACAACAAGGTGAATGGAAAAGGGGGGAGGTTCTGTGACGTATAGAAATACGATAAATCAGACAAAATCCATAATATGCAAAGTAAGACTAGTTTATTTGTTTTATTTATAAATACCTTTGAGATCAATGAAAATTGTGTAATCCGATTTCGAAAATCTTGCATGAAACGATATTGATAAAAAAATCTATCATAATGTATAAATTTTTGAAAACAATGTTCCTAATTCGTTAGTTTTTTATCTTTATTTCGTGTACAGAGTAGTGATCGTAATTCGTTATCAAGCAGTGATATTCTAATAAAACATGTACTTATTTTCTTTTTTGTTTTTCTCCGTTGATTTCAAGCCTCTCATAAGCTTTTCGTTTATAATCAAATATTGAAAAAGTACACACAGTAGTGATTTTCTTGACAAAATAAATAACGACCTCCCTCCTAGACTTTACAAAATATTATTCTTGGCAAAAGCTGATTTATGAATAACATTAAGTATATATATTAAAGTATATCCCAGTGACTGAGATTATTTATTATTCCACAGGGGATACAGCTTGACATTTGTTATACAAAGAAAATAAAGTATTTGTGCATCTTCGAAATATTTATGCTTGATAAAACTATGGCATAATTTCTATCAATATTAATTTCATAAACACATAAAAATCATACTGCTTAAAAGTCGCACTAAAAATTCTCCAACCTTTAGACAAATGATTATTTAGTCATATGTATGATCACGTTTTCACAGAGTACAGCCTGAGTTGTTTTCAGAGAGAACAGCCTTAGTGGAACTATCTAACAATTTCTACGTTGAATGTAAAAAAAAAAAAAGCTTTATTAACAAGTAGTTGTATTTACTATTTAACCTACTATATTACAAACAATAACCATGTCAAAAATCAGATATACAAGCAACAAAAAAAAACCCCACAAAAAACAGTCAACGGATAATTGCAATATCTTTCAAGTTTTCGGTGAAAAGCTCATTAGAGCTTATGTTTAATTCGTTTGTCAATATGCCGAATCCAAATAAAGTTTTATTTACTTACTTACTTAAGCGTATATATATTGATATCGGAAAGTTGTGTTAGGGCCTCCGGGCGAGTAACCATATCTTTTTTGAAGTTTATCACCAGTGTTGTATTTCAATGTAGCTAAAAACAAAACATTGCAATTTTCGGTTTTGAGTCAAATGAAAAAATCGTAGTGGTCAGCAAAATCTTGAGAAACTCTAGGCATAAACCTAACAGATTTACGCCAATAACGTTATCCTTACCGAGTAGTTCCGAGTAGTTCCGAGGCAGTTAGTTTGTCCTGACAAAATAGTTCTAACTGATTGAGTGGTTTATTGATTGTAGCTTGCCTAACGTTTAGCGGGAAAATACTTCACACATATTCAGGACGTGAACAAAGTAACAATTAATACAATCGGTAGGTTGTGCATAAAAGGTTGACCAGGATGATCTGTGTCTTTCCTAGCTTCAGTATAATGTGATTTTTTAATATAACATAAAAAATCATATTGAAGTTTTAATCACTGTCTCTCAACAGCTAGCATTAGAACAAATTATGACGGAAATTAGTCAAGTCTAAAATAGGGATTAATTTCAGACGATTTAAGATCTGAAATTAACACTAAATTCCCAAAGATGGACAATTTAAATCAGGAGATATGGGATGAATGCTAATGAGACATTTATCAACCAGAGATCAAAAGACAATGACGTAAACAACAATAGAGAAATACGGCCTGCAACAACGGGTTTCTCTTGCCACGCATGTACGTTGTAAGGTATTTTCTGTCTGTATTTTCATCATTGTACTTCATTTAAAACATTAAGAAACAGTATCACGTATTGTCTTTTTCAATTAACAGTATTCTGTTGCTGTAGGACATATAATGGAATAAAAGTAAAGCTGCTTTTGATTGGATTTCGTCTGTGAGTGACAATCTAAACATAAAGTGAAATCTCGATAAATATCACGAGATTGTTATTCTTCCAACTGTAAAAAAATATAATCTCTCAGACTAATGTCGCAAAACTGTTGACACAGTTACAATATACAATGTATATGTATATTTAAAATGAAAATGTCTTGCAAAAGTACCATTTTTTGTCTTTTAATGAATAACTTAAAACATACATAAGTTAAATCGTAGCACAAGAGTTTACCCACTGATTTACGCAGGGTTCGTATTACTCAATATTTAGTTTTCTGTGTATTGTTTTGTCTTTGTTGTTTGTCTTTTCTTCGTTCGTCTTTTGGCTATAATATTGTAAGTTTTAATTTGACTTGTGCTTTTTTTTTTTATCTCTTCAGTGTTTCCTCTATTTTTTCTCTCATTTTTTTTGCCATTTGGATTTCGTTTTTAAACGAAAAAATGTTGCGTTCGAATTATTCTCCACAGATTACCTTATCAAAGTTTTAACATGACAAAATGAAAATATTGCGTCTGATCGACTTGTCTTGTGTTACAAAAATTATCATATATGTAAGCACTGTAAATTCTGCAATCGTCTGTTTTTCATTGATAACAAAAACACATTCAGCAGCAGGAAACAGTAATCACAACACGGGGAGGGTAAAAAAAATATAGGGGATCGTCCATCAAAAATCAAGAAAATGTGATAAAAAGACTTTTTCGACGATAAGAGGGTAGTTTCCATCGCCAATCCACCGCATGCCCTGGTACCGTCCATAACATTTGCTTCTAGTTTCAACTCTTATAGAAGAACCATTTAATAACACATGACAAGAGGACTCCCAAGCTCCTACAGCAAATATAAATCGACCATTTCCTACCATACAAATATGAATCTGTAAAATAAAATACAAACAAACAATTAAATAAAACCCGCCTAAAATCTATATAAACGGCATGTATGTATTGGATACAAATTTGATTCATCAGAAGCAAATTGATTAACATACGCACCTTGAAAGATTAAAAAATCGTCAAATTGTCTATCCGCGGCAAAGGTAAAAGTTCAAAATTTACTGGTTGAACCACATTGAGCTACTGAATATTCAAAAACTGGTTTCTATCTGATAACACTACAAACCAGTAAAAGTCTGAAATGGCCTATATCTGTACTCGACTGTACTGATTTTTACTCGACCAGTCTGAATTGGTCTGAAATTTACTTAATAATACTCGACTGTAGTCTGAACCATACGTAACAGTCTGAACTTGTACTCGACCTTTACTCGACTAGTACTTAACCATTTTATACGTGTCTGAACCATGCTGGATCTAGTCTGAACCATACTCGACCTAGTCTGAACCATACTCGACCTAGTCTGAACCATACTCGACCTAGTCTGAACCATTCTTGACCTAGTCTGAATCATACTCGACCTAGTCTGAACCATATTCGACCAAATTAGTCTTAACCAACCTAGACCTATTTTTTGTATCTATCTATTGTTTTTCATCAATTTAGGAACTGTTTTTAACAACAGCTATTTCCCCTGGCTAGAAATTTCAACAACAATTTGAAATTACAAATGTATTCAATAAAGCATTGAAACCAAAAATTCACAATAAACATAATATAACTTCAACACCATATTCATCAACACTTACATATATGTATCACCTTTAAAATAAAGATAAAACAAGCTTATCAAATAATCTCAAAACTGAATTGTGACTTATATTTTCAATGTTATTCAAAAGTTTTTGAATGTTTCAGATATATTTTATGGTTACTGGACAGTATTAACCATTAACTTAAGCCTAGTACATGTATTATAGATTTATGGTGTCAGTTGAGTTTAGTTAATAATGCAGTGAACTTTTTTTTTATTAAAATATATATAAAATAGTATATAAAGCAACTTAATAAATTTAAAAAATGACACCCTTGTTTTGTAAAACCAAGAATTTAATATCATGATAATAGAACTTCCATAGTAATCCTTGATAACCTTTTAAAAAAGGAAATGTGATCAATGTTGCAGTAAAAAATTATTTCAATTAAATATAAATAATTTTGTCAAAATTAAAGACATGGCATACAAGAAGCACTTAAATAAGGTTTAATTACTTCAGTACATGTGTGTTTTACAGGTAAAAAGAAAGCCCTATTTTTCTTAAACTCGTGTATTACTTATCTAGTGAATTCAAAAGGCCTTGCGATTTAAGTTAAACAGGATGTTGCAATTTTGAATGAATGTTATTTAGAATGTTATTTTAATACTCTCTGACCAGGTGTGATCTTTTTAATGAGTTTGCCCCAAGCAGGAGGTATTACTTAATACTTCACCACTAATCAGAAGAACAATTTTATTAATTTCTTTAATTTTTTATCCCTTTTTGATATATATTATATAATATCCCAAATTATAATAAAATATATATTTCTAATATAAGGTTTAACAATTGTGATTTTCTTGGCTGTTGTTGCCTCATTAAAAAGATAATTATATAACTATTGTATGTAACCATGAAACCTATGTAGTTTTTATTTAGGAATTTAGAAAAATTAAGTTAAAAAAAAAAAACACATGCCAAACAAGAGGCACCTTAATAAGGTTGTATTACCCTCAGTATAGGTGTGGTTTTTAGGTAAAAGAAAACCTTTTTTTTTAACAAAACTCTAAAACTTTAAAATTAATATAATTAAATTATTATATAAGACAATTTGATTTAACTATCTCTATTTGATAAATCTGAGAATCATGTAAGGATGAAAAAATCTGTTTATATATATATATATATATATATATCTTTATTTTATTGTGGCTGTTGTCATGTCAGTTAAAAAGAAATTTATTTTAACAGTTAAAATTAAAAAAAAAGTAACGGTTATTTGGTCAAGTATGGTTCAGACTGGTCGAGTACTGTTCAGACCTTTGGTCGAGTATGGTTTAGACTGAAAAAAATAGGTCGAGTACAGGTCGAGAATGGGTTAAGACTGTTTCAGACTGGTCGAGTAATAGTTCAGACTATTTTCAATGGCAAAGATAAGGGTCAAGTACAAATCAGTACAGTCGAGTATGGTTAAGACTGGGGTCGAGTAATGTCGAGTAAAATTCAGACCAATTCAGACTGGTCGAGTAAAAATCAGTACAGTCGAGTACAGATATAGGCCATTTCAGACTTTTACTGGTTTGTAGTGTAAACCAATAACAAAATACTGCATATGATATATATTAAAACAACAACAAGCCGACCGTCTGGCATCTCGGTATCCTCTTAGGACTACGTACAAGTATTATGTTGTAGACAAAATGATGACAAAAAATGGAAAACATTGGAATTTGACAAATCTAACGGTACAATAATTTGATGGAAAATCGCTAGAGAGTCTCATACAAAAGAATAAATATTGCTTTCCTGAAATTATTTCATAATTTGCATTCACTGAAAATAAAAACTACTTTTTCCCTCTCTCGAGCGTGCTCACCAATCACTTTACTTTAACGTTAGAATATAGAATATGGAACACAGAACGCATGGTACGAATTAAAAGAAACGAAGTCAAAAAGGTTTTATTCAGGATGACATCG